TGGAGCCCAACAAATGCATCGAATCGTCAACTCCATCGCTTCATGTCCCCAATGTCGAAGTCGCACAATCCTGCCAAGCAAGTGCCCGTGAACAAGTTGACCGTTTGGCCAGTCCTATCGATCAGAAGCGAAAGGAAATCGATGCTTGTGCCAACTCATTCATGAGCTGAGAAGGGCGTGTGTGAGGAGTCGTTTGACGACAAACCGGTGGATGGGCTCTCAGTTGCGAAAGCTGATTCCGACATGTTATTGGTGAGGACATAGCAGGTGGAGTCGTAGCAGGTGAAGACGGGTATTCACTCTCCTGAACGGGTGGTGGATAAGATGTTTATAAGATGAGAGGATATAGCTCCAGTTTTCGGACTTCTGGAGATGAGTCAAAACCTCAACATCATCAACGACATCAGTTGTACTGCCAACGCAGCTTCGTGCGTTCGTTCCTTGTACTCACGCTGCCATCCCTCCTAGTCTCTGGTATCATGTTCTGACTGCCGAAATACAAAAGGAACTGATGGTTGTACCAATTGACTCTGAGCTGGAATGATGTTAGGACATGCTCCTGGACAGTTCATTGAGCTGTTCTTTGACGTAGCCGTACCAGATGTGAACGGAGCTGACATTATAGCTCAAACATGCTCGAACGACCTCACTCGACCACTACGTGCTCTGCTAAGTTCGATGTCGTATCAGTCTGGAATCGTGCAAGTAACCAAGTGTGGCACAAGCAAAAGGAATTGATGGTTGTAAACCATGATTCATGAGCTGAGATAGCTATTAGGATGTGATTTTGAGTGGAAATGTTGGAGAATGGCTTTGCTTACCCGTAACCGACTCTATCGTCGAGTTCGTAGTGAATACCCAGGCAGGGTGACGTGCTCAATGGATTACGTAGTGTCTCATTTGTAAAAAGAGTCGTACAAAGCGCCAAGTCCAGGAATTTTTGGGCATGGGAACCTGCAATGTGGGACTGGACGACGACCAAGCAAAAGTGGATGAGCCGTACCCGATTCTAGGAGGTGTTAGTGGTGTACTGGATACCCAGAGAAGGCTAACGAACTGAACGGATGACCTTGAGGTCGTTCCTGTATCACGCTATGGTAGCATTTCTGCCAACCGTAACGATTAACTGGAATCTCACGCGCTACCGCTGCGCCAACAGCCCATTTCATGAGAGACGTCCTGGCTGCAAGGCCAAGGATGCATCTCGAGTCCATCCAAAGCTGGATGGCTCATTGGGAGAAGCAGAAATCTCAGGTGGCTTTATGACAGCTTGACCCGCCCAACCGAGGTTCTACCGCAAGGAGAGCATTATGGCAGTAAGAATAGCTTCAATAAGGTATGTTCTACAGTATATACACTACATAGTCCCTAACACATCCCTCATATCTCCCGACACCACCTCCCCCACCCTCCCAACTCTAGTCCCATCTGTCCAGCACACACCCCAATTTCCTCTAATCCAACATCAACCCGTCCATTGCCACTCCGACCATCTTCCATAACAAGCCCGCAACCTACGAGCTCCTCCCATGCACCCTTCGCTACCGCTCGTCCACTGACTCTAACACCAGCACCGGACTGCAGTTTGGCTTTCGACGCCAGAACTTTGTACTCTTCGTACGCCAGTGCGAATGACACAAGATCGGTGTTGTAGATGTTCGTCAATCGTGCGGCGCAGATGAGTAGTGCTAGGTGGAGTGTGCTCAACGAAGACATGATAGCAAGTTTCGAGTCCGGTGCACCTAGCGAGGCTTGGAATGTTGTGGTGAGGTGGGCCAGTATTGCCACAGAGTCGGTATCGGAGTCGTCGGTGAACATGGTAGCAAAGGGCAGCAGCATACTCGAAGCGAACTCGGGCAGACTCTTGGTCGTGTAATACAGCCCTCGGAGATGTTGGATCATCCCTTCCGTCTCAAGCAGGTCTTCCATCAGAGCGTTCCAGGCTTCAACAGAATCAACTAGCGCCTTTTGCTCGTCTACTGGCAAGCTTGAAAGACACAGCACACTCTTACAGCCTTCTCTGTACTGCGCAAAACTCTTCGGCAGTCCAAGATACACATAGCGATGACTGAACCGACTCTTGACCCGCTTTTCCAATCCCTCACTGACATCGATCTTCGTCGTCAAGCCCAATACTGCTATTGGAGCCTTTCGACTCTGCGCGATATCGAACAGATTATACAACAGAGTCTGCCGTGGGTGGGTAGCAAATAATTCGAACTCATCGAGGATAAATACCACACTCTTCGTGACCTGCCCAGCCTCCTGTTCCCGTCCTTGATCAGCTGGGTGAGACAGCAGTGCTAGTAAAGTCGTGAGCGTATCGGCGTAATTCCTACTCGATAGGCTCTCATCGTCCTCGCCCTCTAGATCTCTACCTAGCTGTCGCCAGATCTCCCTCAAAGCAATCTTGTCGTCGGTGTGTATAAAGCCGCTCAAGCGTACAACATGGAAGTCCCCTCCATGCTCTAGGGCTTGTTCGCGTAGGATTTGGTTGACGAGAGCACTTTTGCCGGAGCCTCGGGCGCCAATGAGGAGCATGCTGTTGCTCTCTCCAGCTGTGACGGTTTGCGCGATTAGTGTGGAGACCTTAGTGTACTCGTCCGAGAGATTACTCAGAGGAACAGGGCGCTTGCCGGTCAGCTGCTCGAGGACGACGGATTGGAGTGTTGCGAGTTGGGAGGACGAAAAAGTTGATGGCTGAGGCCGTTTCTTGGACGCCGAAACCGTTTGAGATGCCGTCTTTGCTTTCGATGGTCGTCGCATTGGAGTCAGCTCTTCCGTGTGAGCGTGGTCGCCTTGCTCGTCTTCTGGTTCATCAATGTCCATTGGTTCGGCGGATGGCTGGCGAGGCTTCTGGATGGGCTTCTCGTGGTCCACCACCTTATCCTTGCGTTTTCTGGCTGAAGCTAGGGGTAAATTTTCTACAACATCCTCACCGGGAGCTCCAGCATGCCCATCGTCCTCTTCTTCTGCCTGCGCTGGCACTTTAGTCGCTCTCTTCGGCTTCACTGCTGATTTTACCGGTGGTGTATGCGTGCTGGCCACAGCGCTTGCTCTGTCAGACTTCCGCCGCTTCGCTGATGGTGCGCCAGGAGTCTCCTGTTGCTGCTCCTGCTGCACTTCCTTCTGCGCTGCAGCCTCCAACTCCTTGATCTCGTCCTCGAATGTCTTCTTGCGCCCCGAGTCCGTGGTATCTGGAGCTTCTGTCATGCCTTCTCCACCACCTATGTGCTTCCGTGGCGTTCGGATACTCTTGCCTCGTACTGGCGTGATCACCGTGGCCTTGTCCTCCTGATCATCTTCCGCGGTCTCTCCATCCTCTTCACCACCCTCATGCTCCTCGTCCCCACTCGCCATAGTCGCAGCCGCATGATGCCTTGCATCCACCCCATTCACAGTCGCAGCAGCACCATCCGCCTTCGGCGTAACAAATTGCTTGAAGAAGCCCATCACTTGCGTTTTCTTTGCTGGAGAGCTCGCTTCCTCTACCCTCTGATTACGCAAAGGATCCAGCCGAGCCTTGGGCCTACCAGCCGACCTCGCCTTCTTCTGCGGCGAAGCATGCGCACCATCAATGTCATCGTAGAGCTCTGCCTCGGTCTGCTTTTTCTTCTTGCTTGGGTGTACACCAAACCCCTTGGCTTTCGTCTCGGCCCATGCTTCATGTGCTGACTTGGGAACTGCTTGGTCTGAGGCCGGTGCAGCACGGATCTGGAAGCCGGGCTTTTTGCTTGAGTCTGTGATAGGCTTATTGCTTCGCTGTGAGGTCGGTGTACTCTTCTGGGCAGGACGTTTGGGTGTGTCGACTTTGCGGCGCTTGGCCGGTCGTTCGGTGTCCATTATGCGGTCTGTGTTATCGCGGCATGCTCGTACAATATTCTGGCATCATGAACTTGGGTGTTTGATGTTTCGAAGTGCAGCTTCTACATTGAAACGCGAAGTTGACGCGTGCGCGTGCACGTGCCTTTCACGTGCGACCGGCAGACCTCACCTCTGTCTTTTCAACCCCAACACCAACACCACACCACACAGTTGAATCGACCATGGCATCCCTGTTTTCCCGCAAACGTGATCTGATCTACTTGCTGTTCTTCTGTATCCACATACCCGTCATCTTCCGTACGATACAGCTATCAAGTTCACAACCTCACATCCACTGACAACTTCCAGTCGTCGATACCTTCCCACTATGGCCAACCTCCATCAGACCAGACTTCATGCAAGACATTCGCACGTTCTACATTACGACCTACCAGGACCGCTTCTTCACGCAGCCGCCAAGTTGGTTTATGCTCTATGTATGGTTGGAACTGTTGTATCATGTCCCGCTTAGTCTATGGGCAATTGGAGCTATCTTGCGAGGTGCGTGCTATTCTTTCACGAAGCCCCATGCACATCCGAAGGTGCTGGTCTAGATACACCCGAAATTTGCTTGCTGATGACTTCTGCCAGACGACCCACGCCTCCCAATCCATTTGATCGTCTTCGCAACAGTGACCGCCATCACAACGAGCACATGTATAGCGGACTACATGAGCTGGAGCAGCTTTACCAGCACGCAGAAGGTCGAGCTAGGAAAGCTTTATGTGCCGTATCTCGCGTTATGTGAGTCTATTACTTTCTAGATGGAATGAAGTTGTGACTGACTGATGCATCTATAGCAATATTCATGGGTGTTGATATGTACGCTCGCCTAACGAGTAAGCTAAGCAGGGGTTTGACGACGGCAGAGAAGAAGGCAATATGACCATCCATTGCTTCACCACGAGGCACGGACGTTAGCAGAATGACCACATTTCGATGCACGGTGCAGCCATGCCAAGCCAGAGAGACGGGCGATGTATTCGATCTCTCCCTTCTCCACCGTCACCGTCACCGTCCATACATCGCATCGTGACTCATAACAAGACTCTACCTTAGAAGGGAGTCACCGGCAGCTCATCGGCTCTTCAACACCATCAATCATAATACCAAACACACGAAAGCGCTGTCATCAAGGCCCCGTGGTGTAGTGGTAGCATACTTGTAAGGTGAATTGTTCAGCCGTGTAACGTCTGCTAACAGCCCGATAGGCTTTGGGATATTGTAAATGCAACAATCATAATGCAAGTGGTCCTGGATTCGAATTCCAGCGGGGCCCTCGTTTTGCCGTGGCCAAGGGAGCGGTGGTGATATGATCATTGCTTGAGCTCGAGTTCCGTGCAAGATCTGTGAGGTCAGAATATGTTAGGTTAGGAGAACGAAGTAGATGCTCGTAATAAGCCTAACAGGCTCCGGGCCAGCTGATGTCGTGTTGGTTCGTCAATGTTGTCTGACGGCGCCTTGTTGACGACTTTTCTTCTCGTCATTTATCAATCCATTTTGTACTGCAAGAACACGTCCACCTTCAAGTGTAGCGGTGCCAGGCCCAATCAATGAGCAAGTTCCCCTGCCAAGTCAATGCCATCACAAGTCGGCGACGCGGCTACCCGTGGCGTCTGGTCTCAGGCCAGCCCAGGAATTTCGGTGGAGTGCGTGGCTCCTGCAGAGAGTGAGATTCGTGGAGCTGACATGCTGTTGTGCGAGCGTGTACAACACCAATGTTTAATTGAGACACATGCGGTGCTTGGTAGTACGCAGGTCGACAAGGCTTCGCGTGGCAAGCATGCACAAGGAATCTGGTCAAGAGCACAAGAAACACGCGAAGAGATGGTGATCTCCTCGGCAGGACTTCTTCGCGTGGCCAAGGGACGGATCGGCGGCTTCTATTTTCTTGTTCCGACTCTGCGGTGCGTCCAAGCGTCGACACTTTTTGGGTACTGGTGGCGCTGTTCAACCTTTCGGCCGGCGGCATATATGCACATGCACCATCTCTTGGGAAACCCCTTCAATTTCCTTTTCCCACTGTCATGCTCTGTATGCCTTTGGAGAATTACTAGAACATCACAGCACCAAGCTGCAAAGAACGGAAAGACGAAGAGATCTCAAGCAACTCTTCGCCCTCGACAAGAGGCTGGCCTGGGCCTTGACGAGTCTTGAACACTATCCGTGCGCCCATTTATAGATGCCAAGGACGCGGGAGCGACCGAACCAGACAAGTTTGAGCCTAGCGAGCATCCTTCCGCCAGATTCAACCTCACTCTATCTCTGCACAGACCGGTTGCCATACCGAAATCCACACCTCGATCGACTCCTGTCCCTGATGCGCACGCTTCACAAAGGCCCACCTGGCCCAAAGCAGGACAAGCAGCATGAATTAGGTGGGTGCCGAGTACGCTTTTATCTCCTGTTTGACGCCTATTCTGCAGACGCCCTACGTTTGTTCTAGTGTCCCCTGTTTTTTGGCCTTTCGATATACCCTCGTCCGCGCTCATCTCTGCCCGTCCGCCTGCGTTTCCTTTGATCTTGCTTCGTGCGCGGCACAGTCACTCGTTTGTTTGTACAGTCCATTCGTTCTTGACCGCAGCCTACTTCTTCGCCACCTGCAGTCTTGCCAGGTGTGAAGAGTTCGTTGGAGGTCACCACATTCGTTCAATAACCTAACCATAATGTATCGATTCGCGGTTCTGGGGCTTGCTGTTGCGGCGCAGGCGGCTGTTGTTAAGAGGGACGAGACACTTTACACCACATTCGCGTACGTTGGAACGGGATATCGATGGAATGGATCGATGGGGCTAACTGATGGACAGCACAACTTGCACAGAGAATGGCACAGCAATAGTACACACACATTCGGCGCCTGTCACGACAATCCCTGGCAGCTCTACTCCCCCATACATCACACCTTCCTCAGCTGTAGCCAGCACAACGTCCTCGTCCAGCTCGCCATTGTCCAGCTCGAGCGACGCAAGCTCGTCGGCCTCAAGCGGTTTCTCAAGCAGCGCGAACGCCACTAGCACATTTTCTTCTTCCAGCTCGGTCGATTCAAGCTCGAGCGATGTTTCTTCGTCTACCCTGAGCAGCGTCTCGATTTATGCGAACGCGACGAGCTACAGTTCGACCTCCCCAATAACTACATCGACATCCCAGAGCGCAACACAATTTACGACGTTCACGAGTCTATGCACAGAAAATGGCACCACAACCATCCACACACATTCGATGCCCGTGACGGACAGCACGAGCGCGTCCGCAAATGCAACTACAACGTCCAGCCTCAGCTCATCGGTGGCCGTCAACGCCACGACGCCAACGCTGGGACCGACAGGAACTGGATCGGTGACCATTTCAAGCCCAACCAGCTTCACCACGTTCACCAGCCTCTGCACCGAGAACGGAACTACTGTGATTCATACTCACAGCCAGCCCATTACTGGAAACGCTACTTCGTCCACGATCGCAACTACGAGTGCGTCCGCAAGCGCTAGCAGCGGTTTCTCCGTGACTGTGAACGCAACGACTCCGTCTGCAACTGGAACCGGATCATCGTTGAGCCAAACTAGCTTCACAACTTTCACTAGCTTGTGCACCGAGAATGGCACTACGGTCATACATACGCACAGCCAGCCGGTTACGAGCGTGAGCAGCGGTTTCTCCGTCTCGGCGAATGTTACTTCTTCCACCGTTGGACCGATTGGCACTGGATCCGGAAGCTCGTCTTCTGTAGTTGTGAACGCAACGACTCCGAGCGTCAGCCAGACCAGCTTCACGACTTTCACTTCGCTCTGCACAGAGAACGGAACCACCGTGATCCATACCCATAGCCAGCCGATTACCGCGAATGCAACGACAACAGCAAGTGCTAGCTCCGGCTTCACCATCTCTGCGAACGCTACTACACCTACTGCAGGCCCAACTGGCACCGGTGTTTCGAGCTCGTCGGTTGTAATCAACGCAACGACACCAAGCGTCAGCCACACGTCCTACACGACATTCACATCGCTTTGCACCGACAATGGAACAACCGTGATCCATACCCATAGCCAGCCCATCACCGCAAACGCGACGACCACGGCCAGTGCATCAAGCGGGTTCACGATCTCTGCAAATGTCACAACACCGGTTACTACCGGTACCGGAGTATCGAGCTCGGCTCCCTCAAGTGGCTTCACCGTTTCGGCCAACGCTACGACTCCGTTCCCAACAGGCACCGGTGTTTCCAGCTCCATTGTTGTCAATGCGACCACACCCAGCATTAGCCACACGTCGTACACGACCTTCACGTCGCTTTGCACTGAGAATGGCACCACTGTGATTCACACCCATAGCCAGCCTGTGACTGGAAACGCAACGACAACTGCATCCAGCGTTTCGAGCGGTTTCACCGTCTCTGCGAATGCCACGACCCCGTTCCCGACTGGAACTGGCTCTTCGAGCTCGGCCGTTTCGACCAGTTTCACGAACTCTGCAAACGCCACGACTCCGTTCCCAACTGGCACGGGTGTGTCTAGCTCGACCGTCGGCAATGCGACTACCCCCAGCATTAGCCACACCAGCTACACAACTTTCACAAGCTTGTGCACTGACAACGGCACCTCTGTGATCCACACGCATTCCGCCCCGATCACCGGCAATGCTACCACGCCATTCCCGACTGGCAGCATTACAAGCTCGTCCGTTGTTGTCAATGCTACGACCCCGACTATTACTGGTACCGGCTCCAGCTCTGTTCCATCGAACAGCGCGAACAGCACAAGCCACAGCCAGACGAGCTTCACCACGTTCACCTCGCTATGCACCGAGAACGGCACTACCGTGATTCACACTCATTCGGCCCCGGTCACGAGCTTGCCTAGCGGTTCCATCTCGGTTTCTGCCAACGCAACGACCACTGGCACAGTTTCGGCCTCGACCACAGGCTCGCTCAGCTTTTCGGTCTCAGCCAACGCCACGTCACCAACGATCTCGGGAACTGGCTCAGTCTCTACTGCAACGACAAGCTCGCTCAGTAGCTTCAGTGTCTCCGCCAACGCTACGTCGCCAACGACCTCAGGCACTGGTAGCACGAGTGTCAGCCAGACGAGCTTCACAACCTTCACCTCGCTCTGCACCGAGAACGGCACTACCGTTATTCACACGCATTCTGCGCCGGTCACCACTGCGTCCAGCAGCAGCTCCTTCCCGGTCAACGCCACGACGCCTACAGTCGGTCCCACTGGATCTGTCTCGACTTCATCGTCGAGCAGTGTCATTATCAGCGCCAACGGAACTACGTCCGCATCCACCGACTCTGTGTCCAGCACCGTTTCAGCCACTGACGGACCCTCATCGTACTCGACCGTTTCGTCAAGCTCCGAGTCTGTCTCAAGCTCTGCCAGCCTCAGCATCCCGTCCAACAGCGCGAACGCTACAACAAGCAGCAGTGCGATTGGTGCTACCACCCTCACCGTCTCCATCCCGCTCACTGGTCCTACCACGATCATCATTGGTGGATCAACGTCAACTTCCGCCTCGCTCTCGGTCTCGAACTCTGCCAATTCCACCAGCTCTGCCCCGGCATCGACATCGTCTGCCCCGCCGCCTTATGCAAGCAACGTGGTATGCCCAGCGTCTGCAGGTGGCTCGTACACCGATGCCGCTGGATACACTTACGCCATTAGCTGTGACCAGGCATACACGGGTACCAAGATTGCCACTTCATCCAAGAAGCGTGAGGCCGCTACGGTTGACTCTTGCTTGGCCATCTGCAATGGCAAGGAGGAGTGTGTTGCCATTACCTTGACCTCTTCGGAGTGCCAGCTGTTCAGCGACATCAGTGGCTTGTCCAACATCATTGGTGCTACGTCGTGCGAGAAGACCGCAACCCCTGGCAACGGCACCACTGTTCCTCCTGTCGGAGGTAGTGGATCGACATCATCGGCCACTGGCAGCAGCACGGCGTCCGTCTCTGCCGGAACGACCTCGACAGACTCCTCGTCTGTTGTATCGACTTCGTCCGCATCGGGAAGCACTGATAGCGCATCGACTTCGTCTGCATCCGAGACTGGCCCAACTGATGTTTCCAGCAGCACTGTGTCCGCCTCTGCCACCCAGAGCGTCCCGACAACATCGTCTGACTCCTCATCTGTGGTCTCCACCTCGACTGGAAGCATCTCAACCTCGTCTGCTTCTGAGTCTGGCCCATACGGCGGTGGATCGAGCAGCACTGATTCCGCGACTGCCAGCGTCTCTAGCTCGTCTGCGTCCGACTCTGGATCAAGCAGCACCGTCTTTGTATCTGCC